GCGCTGAATTTAAATCAACTGCTTAAATAGCTCCTCTGAAAAGACACAAAGCATATCGAATCAGTGCCCTTTTCAGTGGGAATGAGATTTTTCATGACAGTATTAACATACCAGTCCTGACAGATGGCACGGGACTGTAATGTCACAAGTTAATCTATAGGATATCAAAATGCTCTGCGACCAACTGTGTCAGGCAGTTTATACAGTTAACAGCGCTAACTAATTTCCGCCAGTTTCCCTTTCTGAGAACATTCACTAATGAGCTATAACGCCACGGGCCTCTTACATGAAAGCTTGCTCAGTGTTTTGTTGCTCTTTGTAATGAAATAAAATTATTTATATGCTTTATTTGCCATTTATACAAGTTTGAGTGCATGGAAATCGCAACGCTCCTTCTTGCGTCTCGCTCTCCTTTAAGACAGACAGACAAGGGGGTAGAACTTAATCATTTTTGCTACTAGCCACCTGGCTAGTTCAGTAAAAAAAAATAGTCTGGCATGCATTGCTATTGCTAGCCTGCCAGCAGGTTTTGTTTTTGTATTCATCCTAAATGACTCACTTCATGCAGCGGCACAGCTTAATGTTCAGCAATGTTCAGGTGAGAGTGAAGCCTGGGGTCTGAGCACAAGGTCAAACGGCACCCATGGGGCAGCTGGGGGAGGTTAAAGGTCAGGCGCCCGATGGCTGTATCAGTCTGCTGGTCCTGGGATTCGGACCTTCCGTTGACAGTCCCAGCCCGCTGAGCCATACTTTGTATGATGCATTTCCTGTGTTGCGTGTTTTACTTCCTGAAAGGAGTGTCGTCAGCGGACTTTGTAGCTAAACTGCAAACCAAAATGTGCAAATGTCTCCCAAATATTGCACCTCACATGCAGCGCTCCGCAGAGCTTCGATCCCACTTAATTCTGCCAGCCAATGTGTCATGGAATTTTACAATCTCTGCACAATATCTGCGTATATAAGTCTTTTCCAACAAGAGTTACAAAACGCTAAGATAAAGTTTCTTAAAATTCAAGCAAATCACGCACGATTCACTGTTCACACAAAAGCAAAAATAAAGTGTCAAAGTGCCAATGGTTTCCGGAGGCTGGTGTCACTTGTGAGCAGCGTGACACATAGGGATGTGCATTTTCTTTCATTTCTGAAGTAAACATGTGCACGAGCCTTGCAAACACTGTCTGATGGTACTGAGTCGCTGCCATATATTGAAAATTGGTGCCTTTCACTGTAACTTGCAACACTGCGTCATACGGGTTGCAGCCCTAAAACTGCCCAGATACCAGGGGCCCAAAAGGAGGACATGTCCGGGAAGACGTAGACATATGGTAACCCTAACACTGGCAAACTGCATCATATAACCCAAGACAAAGCGGGAGGCCCTTCTCCAGGACTCACAACGCTAACTAGTCCTAGACGCTATTGCCCAAGATGGCATGACGTGGAAGGACAGGGTGCTGACTGCTCTAAAGCAGGACTCAAACCTACATGCCTCTGGCTGTGTCATTTGCACATGCAGCACGTTTGGTTAGAGGAAGAGCATTTGCAGGACTGGAAGGTATAGGTCAAGCCCTGTAGTCATTTGGGTGAGGTTGTGATTTAAGCTCCGTGTGAATGAGGATTTTGGGGAAAGTGAACTGGATTGTAAAACTTAACAATCTGACTTTGGGAGAATTAACACCCTAGTTTGGCAGAGCTACTTATAGTACACCAACATGCTGGGATACTTATAATAGTTCCTTAAATATCAAGAAATGAATCATACCTTAGGCTACTTTAAGAATCAGGTGGCTTCAGCTAAGGACCAACAATCCGTCCAACTCAAATAAAATGGTTGAGGCAACTGGGAAAAACTCCTTCACAGAAGAGTCAGGAGGCTTGATTGATATGATGCAGTCACCTTATCTAGTCAGATTTCAATGATCCTGTATCAGACTGAAATCCCTCATTAAATCACTTTCAAAAATGACACCATTGATAACAGATGCCTAGAGATTGACAGCTGGCTGCATTTATTTAATTACACTGAGACCAGGAGAGAGGCTAGCTTTGCTGGCTAATGTCAGATTATAATAAGAGCCTGCTCAGATAGCAGATGGGTAGGCCTAGCGTCCAGGCTAATGCCTCTGAGTACGAACTTGGTAAGACAAATAAGCAAGCAGCGACAATTTTTCATATCTAAATCTTCATAGTTGAGTGTGTGTGTGGGGGCGGGGGGAGCTATCTAGCTAGCTCAGCTGCTACGGGTCATCTCTCAGGTCTTGTGGTGGTAAAGCTTATATTACTATAAGGGAGCTTTCATGTAATTCCTGCACTACATTAAATGTGCAAGAAGCTAATACATTTAATAACTCCAAGTCAGCGTGCAGAATATTCATCACTGACCCTATTTATAGCATTTATTGATAACATGTAATATTCTTTATTCTCTGTGTAATAACATATGTCTTGTTTCATGGGAGAACACAGTTGACCAAAACTAACCCAGTGCTCATTATATCCGTGCCACTGCTTTGTACTAATACTTGCTAGCAGAATCCTAGCTACTGTAGCTAGTTCTGTTCACTGTTAGCTGGTAGCCTTTTTAGCCAACTATTCCTTAACTCTGGACAACGCTACTCAAATTAGGGTTATGTCATACATAGTAGCTAAGTATCACCTCTTCAAAAAGCTGACAGCACTGTGTTATTTGCGTTCCACTCACCTCTATGCCGAACATCGTTGAAAGTTGTTTTTGTTGGCAGAGACGAAAGAGCTGTGAATTTACGGTGAATTTTTATGCTTGCCGTGAGACTCACATTAACACAAATGACTGACTTTAATTCTGGAATTAGCGAAAAAGTTTTGGGGTAAAAGCTGCAAGCAAACGGCTAGCTACAACAATGGTGTGGGTGCTGTGAAAGAAACAGTGACATTAATTAAGCAATCATTCATCCATCCATCCTCTCTTCCTTCCATTCATCCCTCCATCATCATCCATCCATCCATTAATCCTTTTTTCCATCCATCTATCCATCCATCCATCCTTCCATCCAACAGCTTATGGTAAGGGTTTGGTGGAGCCCTGTAGCATATTTTGGGCTACCAGTGCAGGACCAAATACACAGCTTTGGGTACCACCAGGGTACATCCTGGATGGGATGCCAGTGCACCCCAGGAGCATCTAAGACCTGCATGAGGAATGACGGGGTCACAAGAGGAAGCGGAATGGCCGACATCAGTCAGCTTGTTGGCGTGAGATTTTCATTTCGCGATAAATCTGCACACGCATTTACATGCATGTAACAGTTTTATTACCTTGAAATAGTCTGTAAGGTTTGCAGTTCAAGTACCCCAATGCTTTTGATGTAGCTAATTTGAGGTTTATAATGGAATAATATAGATTTGCCGTAAGATTTCTTGCGTGAGCCTGAGAGTCAGAAAGTGTGAGTGTCACGCCAGATGCATGAGAGTTGGCAATCCTGAAGAGGGAGTTGAAATTCTAGAATAATTTACACCTAAGACATCCAAGTCTTTTAGAAATTTCTTTAACAGAAAAAAAGGAATAGTGAGTCCATCAATCCATTTTCTATAACCGCTTGTCCTATTCAGGGTTGCGGGGGGTCCGGAGCCTATCCTGGAGGCTATGGGCACACAGCAAGGAACAACCCAGGATGGGGCACCAACATACACACCATTCGCTCACAAATGTACACCTATGGGCAATTTGATGAAATGTCAGTGAGTATATCTTATTTTTATTTTGTGCAAATTTTATTTCAGAGGGACAGAAAAAAAACAGATATGCTTACAAATGTTTCTGGGCCTTTTCACCCTTACATCTGCACACCTGAGTCTGGTGGTCCACCTGCGTGTTCTGTGGTCCACCTGCCTACCAAGTCTACTGGTCCTTGACTCCTGTCCCTGGCCTGAAGGACAGAGTATGTCTATGCTAGCATGTGACATAGCGAGGACTTTGGGGGGGGGGGGGGCACCATTGTCTCCCCCCCCCCCCCCCCCCCCCCCCCCAACCCCCGCCTGGAGCTGTTGCTCACCGTGGGGCCCTTCTTCAGGGAGGGGTCCTGGGCGGCCTGGCAGCAAAGCTAATTATCACCCAACCGGGCTCCGCCGGAGAGTCAGGCAGGCAGGCAGTTGCCGTGCCGTCACACTTTTGGGGGGGGGTTTGCACACCAACATGCTGGGATTTGAATCTCAGAGAAGGTGAGGCGGGGTGACCAGATGTCACTGTCTGTCCTCAATAACATCCTAAACTTAGCTAAAGAGCACTGAGCAGCTTATCGAGGCTGCGCATCGTAGCGGGAGCTCAGTTTAAGCCTGTTTAACGTGAACATCGGCTGAAAGGCTGCAGGGAAAGGGCCACTCATTTCGGGACGTCTTTCAGCTGACCTGGCCTCCATTCCGCTCTCCAGAGACGCGGCAATTTACCTTTAAGCTGACAGGTCAAGCGACCGCACCAAGCGGTCATCAGTTCAAGCACAGGGAGGTGAGTATCAACCCCAGCCTTTAGTGGGCATCAAGTATAAAACAGGAAAAATAAAGGGCTATTTAGTGTCCTGCAGTTCATATTTACACATGTAGTGATGCAATATGCAAAATATTATTAGTACTTAGTTTTTGACAAAATGACCATACATGTGCTTTACAGCTGTCCACATCAGCTAATGACTCATTAGAGCAGATCTTCATTTGATGCCCTCAAGGTCCAGAAAGGGGATTAATAAGAGAAGCATATGTGGGTCCAGCCCATGGTACAAAACTCTTAGGTATACAGCTCAGGTTCCCAACGAGCTGGTCCATTTCCATGGTTACTGCAACATCCCATCCAGGCGTCCACACAGGGCACAAGTACAGTTTGAATGGAATGCACTGATTACCCGCGGAGCTCGTAACGTCGTGTGGTGTAAAAGGGCCGCACTCTTCAAGGAGAAGCTGGCCCTATGAACCCTATCCAGCCCGAGCATCACCACTCAACCACTCAACCACTCAACCTCTCAACCTCTCACCTTCTCCTGGTACTGGCGACGGGAGGAGTCCAGGGACTGGATGAGCGCGGTGGCGTGTCCCACGAACATGGCGTAGCAGGTGGCGCCCACGATCATGCTGAGGATGGTGAGCCAGACGTCCGTCATGCCCACGGGGGGGTACATGCCGTAGCCGATGCACAGCATGTGGCTCATGGCCTTGAAGAGCGCGTAGGAGTATTGCTGGCCCCAGGTGTCGTTCTGAGGTGGAGAAGGACATAGGTTTACCACCAGGGGGCACTGTGTGTTTCCCAACCCCCCCCAAGCACCACAGGGACCATAAGCAATGTCGGTGCATGTGGAGACATCACTGTGATGAAGCAGCTTTCCGTCTCGCTCAGGACAATCTGTTAAAGGATTAACAGTTCAAACACACTCCCGCATGCAAAGCACAAGTTCAACACCCGTCCCCTCGTCCCCTGTTTACCTGTCACCTCCTGAATACCGACCGTATTCATACAAACGCACATATTTGCCGCACAACGTGAGCAAATAATGAATGAATGATTCAACATATCCGACCCGCTTCCCGACTCGATTCTCCGAAGGCGAAAACGTAGGCGGGCGGCTTAAAAGGAAATGGATGTGGACGAATCGCCCGTCGCCCTTTTGTTTCCAGCGCTGGCGCACGGCGAATCGATATGGTCTCTCTCCCGAGGTGACACGCTCGAATTGGATTCAGACCAAATTCTCGGTGGAGAGAAACCTGGAGGAAGACATGGTGATCACTGCCTACAGAAAGGTCAAGGTCAAAACAAAGCAGCGGCGACGAGACGTACATAGTCTGGGCATGACTGAGACCGAGGGTGGCACCGTCACGACAGGAGCTGGGCGCTGCTGCCATGAAGACGTTCAGCATTTGACCGTAGTTTGCCAACATTCCATAGTCTCACTCACGGCTGCTCCTGCATTTAAAATCGTGTAATTTAATCTGTCCAATTAAGTTGGCCAAGCGACTTTCAGGGGGGAGAGCCAGGTCTGCGTGCATCGAGTTGTTTCATCTGACCTTTATTCTCAGAAATCTCAGCACCTAGGAGTTGACACCAGTCCCAAGAACCATAATCCCTGCTGATGTCACACACATATTTCCTTGACATTTTCATTGGCTTCATTTATGTATCGATATGTAGCTATATTTGTCTATTTTTTTACGTAGTGTTAAGGTATTACTGAATAGGTAATATCACTTAATTTGTAGTCTTACTGTATTTAAAATACCATAGGATTTACTACACTGATTCATGGTGAATGTATATATTCCTTTTTACCATGCTTTTATCAAACAAATGAATGTAAATGTTTATACACTAGTGAATAAACAAAAAGACTCAACTACATCTACAAAAATGTCCTGTATGTTTCTCTCTAATTTGTTTAATTTTGACCATTATGATTACTTGGATTGTCCCTGAGTTGAACTGCCAACGCAGGCAAATCTTGTCAGTGAGACTTACCGTTAATCTTTTACGTGACAACTGACATTTTGACAACAATTAAATATTACCACCAAAAATCAAAGCTGGGTTTGAACTTCAAGCCAAGTAAGGACTCCATGCAAAACAGCTCGGTCCTATTGGACCGTAGCAAGTTTTCTGCATGCTGTGTGGTCAACCTCAGTGACCTGCATACTCATGAACAAATAAAATTTTCCAGTAAATTGCTTGTATAACATATACTCTCTGACAAGCAAATCTGTTTTACTTCATGATTTTAGTATGATGGAAACCTGGCAGAGACAATTTTCAGATCTTCTCACTTTTTTAAGTCCCTGTTCATATTACTGAAATTTTTCACCATCTGTATTAATGACCCTGCAGATCACTGGCTGTGAATTTTAAAAACTTGCTTGATTGTTTTAAAATGATATAGAATGTTATGATCCCTACTCGCAACAAAGGAGAAAGTCTTGATCCAGTAATCTCAGATGTACCTGATATCTCGATATCTATGACTTTGAATGCCACAGCCTCAAATGCGAAAATATCTCTGGGTTTATGGACATAACTTGCTCAGCTGTCTTCTGTGTTGACACATAGATGAATGCCAAGCAGCTGGCTAGTTCCAAAAATGACATCCTTAACATTGCCGTTAATTCGGTGGCCCCTGTAAAAACCCAGATCATGTCCTTCAGATGCTCCCAGCTACTGTTTACAGAACAACTTCACCTTATGAAGTCCCACCAGTTCTACTATAAAAGGAGCTCTGAAGGCAGCTTCTAGGGAATATGTTATCAGGTTAATCAGAAATTGGAAATGCCAGAGTCTTCTCTTGTACAATAAATCAGCTTCTCAGTACTGCTTTACCAGAAACTTCTTCTGCATCCATTGAAACTTGTAACTGCTTTCTTGATGTTTTTTTTTTATGGAGAAAATGTCCAACATCAATCTATTTCTCCACCTTCCAAACACATATCCTGGACATGCTGGTGGTCTGGTCTGGTCCAGGCAACATACTGTAGAGCAGAAGGCATTAGTGCAAACTCTAATAAAACGGCAGTCCATTGCAGAAACTCTCCAATAAGAAAAAGTTCTTCTATGTCAACTAATAAAATGGTTTTGCTCATTTATTCTGATTCAGTTTATTACAATTTTGATTAATAAATCTCTTAAGACTGGTGAAGTTCCAATACTGTTCTAAACAGCTGCTGACACCCCTTTACGGCAGAAAAAAGTCTTGATCACAATGTATTCTTCTCCAGTTACAGGCCCATCTCTCACCTCCCGTTTGCTGCTAAGGTACTTGAAAAGGCAGTTGCTAATCATTTGGTGTTTCACATGAGCTCCCATAATCTCCTTTAAAAATTTCAATCAGGTTTTAGTCCTTTAGTCCTCATCATAGTACAGATATTGCCCTTGTGAAAGTCACCAACAACTAGCTAATGGCTACTGACTCTGGTTCTCCTTCAATCCCCATTTTTCTTGATCTCTCAACAGCTTTTGACACAGTAGATCAAAACATTCTCCTGAAAAGATTAAGGGATTAGATTAGTCTACACGACACATGTCTGGAATAGTTTTCCTTTTATCTCTCTAATAGACAGCATTTTGTTTCTGTTGTTCAAATTAGGTCTTGTGTCACTTGTCACCTGTAGTATCTCCAATGGCCAAGGCTAGGACATTGTTTTTCTCATCTTCACGCTCATTTTGGGCCAGATGTTCAATGTACACAGCTATGCATATGACATACAGCTGTGTATGAACACCCAGCCGGACAACTGCACTGTCACCGAGAATATAAACATCTGTTTGGAAGGGATCTGGAGGTGGGTGAGCTATAATTTCCAAACCCAAGGCCCTATGAACTGCATCCCTTAGCTAAGTGGGTACACTTTCAGTACCCACTACTGAAGAGAATACTATCAACCTTTGTCAAGTGGTTTCTAAACTTAGTGAGGAGTTTCATGCCTGCTCACAAAACTGCTGGCAAGTCATCATATTCAAACATCTACTCAAAACATCTCCTGGTTAAGCTCCTCAGATGCTGAAAAGCTTATTCTTCCATCACATATTGACTATGGTGGTGCCTTTTCATGTGACTTCCCCTTCTCCTACTACACACTTCTTCTCCAGGATATTGCTGCTGTCGGGGGCGGAGTTACTTACCTGGGTGCCCTAGGCTGACATCAGCATGGATACTCAGGTGTTTTAACTAGCCATTCCATCCCCCCCCCCCAAGGCAGGACAGGGCCCTGATGTTTGCCGGGGTCCTCAGACAACCTATGCATTAGTCCGCCCCTGGCTACCATGGTCCTTATAAGAGAAGGAGAGTTGACCCATATCACCACGTTTTTAGCTCTACTGCACTGGCTTCCTATCAGACAGAGAATAGACTACATTGTGCTCCTGCTGGTCTCCCAGTCTATCCATGGCAAAGGCCCCACTTATCTTACCGACCTCCTTTCTGCTCTAACCTCCATGTGTCCTTCATGGTCTGTACGGTTTAACATGCTACGCTTTCCCAGGACCAAATTGTGAACTACGAACATTGAACAACCATCTGTTGTTTATATTACTTGAAATATGGAACTACCTCCCAGTTTACATTAGACAAGCAATATTAATGGAATCATTTTTAAAAAGGACCTTAAAGGTTGCTTAGGTTTGTTTTGATTGTGAATTGCGATGCGATTTGAAATTTTTGGACATGAAATGTGGAATAGAAATTGAATATGCTATTTCGCCCACCCAGATCCAGCTTTATCCTAACATTATACTGGGAATTTATTGATGGAGGATGGACCCCACCAGCACTAATCAATCAAGTGACAGACCCATTACCGAGGTTCAGGTCACATGACAATACAGAAACAGAAAAAAAGGATTAACTTGAGAGGGCTGAAAGATGTACTTTGCGTTTGTGTTCCACTCTGAGACCGGTGCCAAGGATTTAAAGGACTTACCTGGCTTGCAGGACATACATCAAAGTAAATTTAATTTCTCTAATTTACTTTCTTCCTTTCACTTGAGCAAAACCTAGGCAGGGTTTACACAATATTGCTTTACGTTGCCAAATTACTGTAATGTGACAAATAATCTTCTAAAGTATCGTGTCTATATAATCATACCCAAGTGACCCTCCGAAACACACAAGGGCTGAGGAACCCCATGTTGTTCTGTGCTGCCTCTTGGGGGAACAGCGCAGCCTGTCCACTGGAGCGGCCCCAGCGAGGCCGTGTGGTACCTGGTACGAGGTGCTCATGGGGCAAAGCCTCCGGCAAGGAAGGACAGTCTATGTGTGCAAGCGTGGAGCTGCCTTCTCACGAGCAAGATAGCTTTGGACACATCAGGAATAACAGATTCAAGGAGGCCTGAAAGGTTCCAGCTAGTGAGGGCCACTGTGTCTACAGTTTCTGGGTCACCTTTAGTGACTGGTCCACGGCGACACAATGACACCAAACAGCCCACTGACCCCCACCCCGGGGACCACATCCTTGGCAAGAGACTCACCACCATCTTGTTCTTGGAGACCCAGCAATCGGCAGGGAAGTCCTGCAGCATGGGAACCAGGAACTGCAGGCAGCCGTCCCAGTGACACAGCAGCAGCATCATGCCGATGAGGTTGACGATGCGCACCATGGCGCTGGCCAGGTCGTAGGTCATGTGGAAGATCTGTAGGGTCATGGGGAGGCAGATAGGAGGGGGGTGGATATACTGATCAGTGACCAGAGATTGCTGTAGCCATGCTTAATGCTTTTACTCCATATTTACCTCCAACGCTAGTTCAACCCACTTCAACCCAATGAACAAAGCAAAGCGCAGAGGATTTAACAGTTAAAAGTTTCATTTTAATCCTAAGCCCTGAATAATTGAGGTCATGATGTTCTCGGCCTGGTGTGGATGCCAAACCTAAAGAATGAGGTATTTTATGTAATATGATGTTCTTTTTTTTTTTTGCAAGAACAAAGGTCGCTTTGCCTTTAAGTGGGGAAGATAGGAAGGAGCGACAGAGCGTACAGGTTGTTCTAGGCGACCCGGTACCGAAGTGCTCTTGGGATGTTCAAGTCCAGTCTGCATACATCACTGTTGTGAACCCTGACCCAAGTTTCGGGTAGCGAGAGGCACAGAGGGAATAACCTTAAATGGGTTCAGGTAGTCTAATAATTATGTAGTGTAGTAATTAGGCAAACAGAATTCTTCAATAGCCAGGCATGTTGAAATTCTACGTATACTCTGAGGCACCAAGACCAGGGTCAAGAGCAGGGGCCTCTACAGGTACGGGCCCTAGCTGGCCCAGGAATGCCCTCACCCCTATTACTCACCCATTCAAAACATATCAGTGACATATCAGTGACTATTAATAAGGTGGGCTCCTGTGTATGGATTATGGCCCCTGTCATGCCCCTCACCACAAAAATATCCTATAATCTCCCTGCTGAAGATCCACTGGTCTATCGCCATCTAAGCATGAGCTCCTGCACAGGGCAAAGGGTTAGGTTTAGGGTTAGGTTTAGGGCACATTCTGTGTCAGTGAGGGCCAGGAAGTTTTGGGAACAAGAAAAGGAAGTTTAGACCTCCCTCCCCAGGGCATCCGTAGCAGGGTCATCAAACTGTTCCATATCGCTTCATTCCCCTGCTTCAAATTAATATATCGTACCACTTCCTTTAGTATTTGTTTCATGCTAGTTTCCCTCAAAATACAGCTCTGAAGTACTGCATTGCCTCAATACATAAACTTTAAGCTTTAAAAATTACTACATGAATATCTGCTGTAATGCTTATAAATAATCAAAGAATGTTACAAATATCATACATTGGACAATAAAATAAGTAACTAGAGCAACAGTTTTGCAATCTCTAAAAATTGGAAGTGTTCCAACAATTTTGGCCACTAGTGTAAATGAATTTCACAAACTTTGGAGGAAGTTCTGTTAAGTAAATGAATCACGAGGTTGGGAAAGTATCCTGTTTACCTCACTGGGAGCCTGACATCGTTTGGTCGTGGTGTTATTCTGTGCCTAAACCCAGCACTGAAGATACCAGAAAACCCTGAAAATGCTCCATGGAAATGCATGAATGAAAAAGTCACGTTTCCCTCAGAACTCCTCATTATCGCAGACTGGACATCAGATCAATGTGGCGTAATCCAAATACACTCTGTGGCGGCCCGACAATGCGTTCAGCCGCTCGGCCTACAAGGGGGGGCTTTCCTCACGTGGCGCTTTTATCACGCTAATTCCTCACAGTTTCTCTCTGCCATTACTAATTATGTAAACTAATTTCAGGAATGTTATTTTAGTACAGCTAGCTAGTGCTTGCTTTAAAATGAAGACTTGGGTGTTAGGGGAGAGATTATTTAATGATCTATCGCTGAGCATTCTCAGCAGTGAATGAGTTATTGACAAAATTAACCCAATAATTAGGACCACTGAGACTTCTGTGATATGTGTGTACGCACTGCAGAGAATGAGGATTGTGTATGCGTGTGTGTATATGAACACTTTCGGTCCTAGATGGGTGTGAATTTGACTTTTTATGTAATACTTAGCACCTGAAAAAGTAGGGGCTTCTTCAAATGCATTCCTAAAATTAGAATCAAGCAGAATACTATATATTGCTATAAACAAGGTCTTAGCATTAAAAAATATATATATTGCTGATTCAGCTTACCTATTTTCCCTGTAAATCCAAAACCCATGGTAGGCGGGGCTTTCGTGGGCTGCCAACCACTGACAAGTTTAACTCACCTCTCATTGGATAATTTACTGGCTCTCATTAGATTTAAACTAAGTGCCACACCCACTCCCATTCTCCCAATCCTAAATGATATTATTGCATTGCCCTGCAATTAAGAAGCTGCATCTTCTGTCAAATCCCTGTTGAACTTATGAACTATGCATACAGTAGCAGCAGAGTTTTCCTGATCTGCCCTCAGTAATGTCATGCAAATCTCCACACAGCACTGAACATATTAAATGGCTGCGGCTGTGAAACACGCCGAGTTTGGAGGCAGACTGATTTGCACAGGATTTTTTTTTTTTCTGCTTCTCCTTTATTAAAATAAATTAGCTACGCGAACCAGGCCTGGACTCAGCCTCCATTTCGAAAGACGCTCCTCACAAATAGTTTAAATCTATTCTGATGTGCAGTTATTATAAATCAGTCGACCGGGAACAGAGAACGTCTCAATCATCTGAGACATTTAAAAAAAATATCAAAATAACGTTCTCAGAAAGGCTGAACCTCTGGTGTCCAAGCAGATTAAAAAACAGCAGGGAAATTGCAATAGGGACGGCACCCTTTTTTAAAATCAGCTAAATGAGCCAAATTATCAGATATCAGTAACAACAAGACAGTGCCAGTTGGATAGCATTGACATTATATGATCCCATAAACATACACTGAACACACATAATAAATGTGAAATTCACATGGCAAGGGAAGGGAGGCGTGTGAGTGATTTAAGGACTGGTAGCTGTAACGCGTGTGCATATATACATCAGGGGTATCCGCAATGGGCCGGTGTGTTTTACGGTGTGTCTGTGTAGGCTCTGCAGGTTTTGGGAAACCTTTAGGTCAGCTGGTTAAACCCAGGTGTGAGGACTCTTCAGCCAACGAGTCCTCTAATCTAATTAAGGTGTCGCAGCGAAAACCCACATCCCCAACGGCCCTTTCTGGATAAGATTGCCCATCACTGATATACACTCTTATTAACAGATCATTATTGGCTACATGTTCATAACGTTTTTCATCAGGCCGAGTGAAACTCCTTTGTGTTTCGAATACTACCGAGTTATTAGTCAAACAGCACTTTGCAGGACCCTTCAGTTCCAAGATCTCAAACCATGTGAGGGTTGTGCATCTGCAGGCTTTTTCCACTGCTGTTCTTCATACTTTCCTCCATCCATCTTCCATGAGCTTGCCCAGCATAGGGTTGCATGGGTCACCTGGAGGCTATCCCAAGCCTCATACGGCCAATGGCAGGGTTAAGCCCTGGAATGGATGCCAGTGCATTACAGGGCACATGCCCTAGCTCTATGGGCCATTTAGTCAGCGAGCCACATCCCTCTTTGTTTATGCATTGCAGGAGCACCCAGGTTACAGGGGGAGAACATGCAAACATCACACACAAAGAGCAGGGGCAGCTTTTGAAACCCCCAGTCCTGGAGGTGTGAGGCAGTGGGGCTACCTACTGCCCCACTGGGCTGCCCACTCCCATCTGCCTAATTAGACTAATTCATTTTATATTTTAAATAATCTTTTCAAATGACAAAGTACATGTGATTATCACAGGTCTCTATGTCCCATACTTAATGAGCACCATTTTTCATGTCACTGATTCTGGAAAGGTGTATAGGGAATGGACTGCAATGGAAATCCGCACACACATGCACGCAGTCCACAGTGGACGGCCATTTGTTCACTGATGAGCTCAGGTGGGTCGGGATGGAAGCGGGGAAAACGGTTGAGAAGGTTGCTGTTCAGCATGGGGGATCTGTCCGTGGCTGGGCAAGTCAATGCTACCACTGTCACTTGGATCTATGGATACCTCTGTACCTCTTAACTAAGGACAGGACGTCCGTAGAAGCAGATGACCAGGAAGTATCTGCTCCCTACTTTGGTCATAGCAGCAAGTGGGGCCAGGTCCGGGAAATTCTGTCCTCCCGTTCAGATTACATATGTTCATACAGTGGTTCCACAAAACATGCAGCAGAAGCTGCCGATATAACACAAGTTACACTTCTTGGCTCTCGGCAAGCTTCCCCTGCTGCTGCAATCAAATAACGCCCCATTAAACCCTTTATTATCCAACCTCTTATCTCTGAAAGAGCAGCCGCTGCCAAGTGGGCACTGATTAGTTGATTTGCATTATTTATTATTTGCCTCCATTATCACTGACCCTTTTTCTTCATTCAAAATGAAAAGAGAGCCCTCCCAGCCTCGCCGCTCTTCTGTTCTGTTTGTACCTCCCATTTGCTGTCCTGTTTGTATCATCCCCCACTGCTGTCAGTACTACCCTCCCACTGTTCTGTTTGTAAGACTCTCCTGCTGTTTTCTTTGTATACCCCTCCCACTGTTCTGTTTGTAATCCCACCACTGTTGTGTTTGTGAAACCCTTCCCTTGATTGGTTCTTGACACCATCTTACTTTCTGATGTGTGACATTCCATTGTTGTTGTGTTTGTAATACCCTGTGCCATTCGGCTTGTAACACTTTCCCATTGTTTACTTTGTAACACCATCTTACTTTTTGATGTGTAATACTCCTTTGATGTTCTGTTTGCAATACCCTATGCCATTCTGCCTGTAACACATCCCCTTTATTTGTAACACCATCTTACTTTTTGATGTGTAACATTTCTTTGTCGTGGTGTTTGTAATACCCTGTGCCATTCTGCTTGTAACACGTTCCCATTGTTTGCTTTGTAACACCATCTTACTTCTTGATGTGTAACACTTTGTTTGTAACACCTTCCCATTGTTTGCTCAGTAACACTATCTCATTCTTTGATGTGTAACACTGCTTTGATTTTTCCTGTTTGTTACACCCTCCCACCACTCTGTTCTGTTTGTAACACCCTCCCACTGCCCATCTCTGTTGGTAATATCCTCCTGCTGTACCGTTTCGTCGCAGTTGTGCCTGTGATACTGCTCTGCTGTTTCGTTCTGTTT